TCTCCCCTTCTTATACCTCTGCCAAGGCAGAACCTCCCAGCCTGCATCACCTCCCTTATAGGCCATTCCCCTTTTCCCCTTCTTTGCAGACAAAGAGAGATCCACAACAAAGCCCCTGTGTGCTACAACCCATGCCCTGTCCAAGAGGGGGCAAAGACTCCACCCCAGCAGAAGTAGAGACTGGACACCTATGGGATGCATTTGAGGAGATGCAGAAATAATGCAGAGAGGCTGGTACCTTTGACAGTGTCCTCACTGGTCTGACTGGTGACACTAAACACCTGCAAAGCAGGACCCTGTGGCTTAATCCTGCCACCAGTTGCAAGGAGGCAGGCTTCACTGAACTCCAGCAGGAAAGAGATCCGTGTAACCTGTTGCAGAAGGGAGCCCATGACATGCCAACGCCAATGAGGAGCAAACTATAATAGGAACCAGAGGAAGCAAAATAGCAACAAAAAATTAGAGCTTTGTTTAGTCTGGGGAAATATCATTTATAATTAGCAACGGGCATCCTGTGGATGTGACGTAACCTATTTTAAGACCAAGGCAATCACGTGACTGGTTGTGAATCTCCTGCATGTGATTCCCAAACTGCCAATTCATTTCTGGATGTCTGGGTTCTTTTTTTTTTGCTGTAATTTCGGGAAAACTCCAAAACACAGATTAACTCATGTCATCTCTGAGATAAAGATGTTCATGCTGGGAATTGTGTTTCTGGAAGTTTTGGTTTCTGTCTGTAATGTGATGCTGATTTGATAGACCTGTCTTCTGCTAGCACTGAAGTCCACAAATGCCAGGCAAATGGCAGAACTGGGCATGTGGTTGTCACCACGTGATCTTCCAAATCTCAAGCTACAGACCCACCTGAGATGGGATCTCCTAACATGGGGTCCTTATGACATGACAGGTGCAGAGGTGCTGTCAGCAGATCTGATGACCGGGTGGGAGCTTGTAGATCATCTGCCAGGACCTGATTCTGCAAACCTACCACTGAGGGAATTTCTGTTGGTGCTGACATTTGGGTTCAATCACAGAGGGCTTGCAAGAGATTTGGGCATTGGATCTCAAAAGCCTGAGGTCGGGTTGCCTCTAGAACAGTTGCTCTTGGACAATGCCAGCTCTTAGCTCTCACTCACTCCTTGACTATGGAAAAATAATAAAGCAAGTGTAGGTGTTTGCACACCTAACAGTGTGGCACACTTGGAAGCAACTCACAGCACTCCAGCTGGCTGCACCATCCTGTGTGAGAATCACCTATCTGGGGGTTCACTTGTGCAGCTGGGTGCACAGCAAATGATCTGGAGCCAGCCGGGTCCTCCTGGGGTGGGTGGCGAGCAGGGCTGGGCACTGCTTCTCCTGCCAGGAGTGGGGATGGGCCATGGCAAGGTGAGGTGAGGAGAGAGTGCTGCTGTGAGTGTGGGCTGCTCACACACGTGTGTGTGCATGTGTGGTACCCCCTGCCCATGGCGCCCCGGGCAGTCGCCCATGTTGCCCACCCCTAAGGCCAGCTCCGGATGTCCTCAATAGCAGGCTCCCCTTTGCAAGGTTTTTTTCTCCTTCAGCCATCTGATTTTCTATTAACCTGATGACGCCTGAGCAGGACTCTCTATTTGGAGCCAGTACCAGACCAATGAGCTGGCATGGGCGCAACCTGGTGCTGCCTGGCTGAAACTGCTAACCAAACCCCACACAGGTCCACGCTCTATTGCTGGCTTCAATAAGACCTTCTGTTCTCTTGCCCCTTTTCTTCATCTGCTAATAGCTGCTCTGCTGCCCCCCAGAAGTGGCTGCATTTCAGTGATCCCTTCTATTTGCTGGAATTGTTGTTTGTAAAGTGCTTTGAAGCCCTGGATGGGAGCTGCTGTCCGAATAAGGATGGAAACGTAAGGGAGGATTTCCCCGTTCAGAGCTCTAACTGCACACACTGTCATCAGTTTTATGCGCTGCCTACGAGTTTTGTCATAGACAGACACGCATCAAAAATTAAAATGTGGGACTGCTCTCTCTGCCGCCTGCCAATTTGGCAACTGAGACCAGCTGAGTTGAAATGCTTCTTCCATCTAAAAACACTGTCAAAAAGACGGGAGCCAGAGCCTTCTCTGTCAAAGACCCCCAGATATGGGATACCTTGCCTTTCACTTATTAGTGTGCACTATGGGAACAGCCCCATCATTATTTGTTGGTGCATCACCACCTAAACACTCCAAGTAAGGAGCAGGGCTCTGTGCATCGGTGCCACACAAACAGGGGGCACTCGCCTCCCTGCTGAGAGCTAGCCGGAGAATTTTGCATTGCTAAAGTCCTCTGTAAGGTCTGTTTTGAGGATTTCAGTGGGACTGGAGAGGTGTTTTGGGATGCCAATGCCAAAGTTATCCAGACAGGCCTATTTCTGCTTCTATTGAAATCCATGATCAAACTCTCATTTATTGTGGGTCATAAGTCAGGTCTGAAATTAATATTCCTTAAATATTGTCATTAATGATAACATCACCGCTTTCCACTTCTGTAACGTAAGGCATTGCAGAATCTCAGAACACACCATAGCTATCCCATGACTGTAAGGCAGACGGCCCTTGTGGTAGTTAGGGGGATCTATAAAGACTGCATAGCCTGCCATGGAAATAGAGTCACTTCTGAGCTTGAACCCAGCATCTGCTTGACAGCGCGCAGCAAAGCTACTCAAGAATTTGGTGCCAATGCTTGAAGAAGGGCATTTGTGCCCAAAAGCTTCCAAAGAACTTTTTTCCAACTATTTAGTTGGTCTAATAAAAGACGTCACATCTCCCCAAAGAACCTTCCCTGCCTCCAACATGGCTACAACCAACAACCCTGCACCTAAAATGAAGAAGATGATGGGGGAAAAATAAGAAAAAATGTACTGGAGTTTAGCTGTGGACCTGCAAATGACACCACTTCTCATATGACAACCGCATCAACGGAGCCAGATCTTGGGTGCCAGCCAGCAGGCACACAAATGGGCTAAGGGGGCTCAGTGTGACACTATCCCATTCTGGAAAACAATTAATACAAAAGGTGAGTGGGTCCTCTTCTCACTCGCTGCTTTTTTGTGGCTCAGGCTGAGATGACAGTGTATAGTAGTAAGAGTAAGCAGGCTCTTGGTTTTTAGGGACTTGCACAGGGTGGCATAGGATCACACAGTCTACTTAGATGCCTAATAAGTGGAACAGGATCTGATCCAGAGTCTTTTATGAGGGACGGCAAGTCAGTTCTACAGCTGAGCTTAAAAAGAGAAGCCCAAAGGTACTTAATACCAGGCTTGTCCATCCTGGGGAAGAATGATCACTATGGGAGCGCAAGCACCTCTTCTGAAAGCACTTCTCTTCTTTTTGCACAGGTTCGGATATCACCCTCACCCCCGTAGCACCTTTGAGGCTAAGCAATATGGCTAACATCTGTGCTGGGTCTGTCCTGAAGGAGAAGGGTATGTAGTGCAGTACTTTGGGTTTAGATCTGGTTATAGATTGCATATACACACACCCCACTACACCTTTGTGTTAAAGGCAGGGTCAAGAAGCATGCTCTGTACTGGAAGTGGAAGGCGTTGAGCTTTGCATTGGTCCCTAGTCCCTGGGAAAGTTCATCCCACTGCAGGAAGATGGGCCCTGAGAAAATGGGCTTCCCAGCAGAAATGAGCTTCACTCTCACCATATTTTTCAGCTGGCATGGGGTCTAACCTTGTTTGCCTCGTGAGAGCTGCTAGGACCCCATTCAAAAGCAATATGCCTGGAAACCAAGAAGCAGATCCAAGAAGCAACACGCAAATCAGAGCACACCTTATACATTAAGCAGAAGTCTGATCCACAAGGAGCCACATCGCCTGTTTTGTTCATGCACCGGTTTAAAACTAGAGCAGCTTCCGTGCAGTAAAATGAAGCTCATCTGGGCTTGCACCCATGCAGGTGAGACCGGTCTGACGCAGTGTTTCTTTCCAAAAGCACGCGCACTACCTCCCACTCAAACATTACACTAAAAATGATGCAATTAAAAGAAAATAATTCCACAGATTAAAATAAAAGCTAATGACCGAAAGTCCAAAATGTATCCTATACATTTTAAGGCTCAGAACTTTTAGACGAGCTGCAGCCATTTATACCAATGGAAGATGCGGCCCAAAGGGCCAAATGTGACTCCCATAAATGAGAGCAATATCGAATATTTCCGATTTACCCAGCACAACTCACCGGAAGATCTGTACCCAAGCATCTGAAAATGAATGAAACTTGAACGGGATCTGCACATCTGTAGGACAGATACTATGTGTTTCAGCAGGAGCCCCGGCCCTTGAGAGTGCAAAGGGGATTTTTGTGGTATTCACAGAATGTTTAAATGTGTCAATATAAGAGGAGTGTAATCACCAGCTGAGAGACTCCAGGAAATCAGCCAAACTTAAACGAGCGAAATGGAAAATAAAGAGAAGAGCAAAGGACAGACATATTTTAAAACTATTATTGAGGTATGCATTCACGTGCTTAGGGGAGCCTGGGAATATATAAAGGCTGAAGACTGCTGAGGAATGAATTCACGGGCCAGTCTTTGGGCAGTACTTTTTTTTTTTATT